GGTTTCTTGGAGAAGAGAATTCCATCATCATGAATAACTATGAAAAATTGGATCAAAAATGCATATTGAGTTGAAGTTTATTCCCACCTTTCTGCTTTCCAGACCTCATTAAGAAAAATATGAAAAGAAACCCCATATTTCGTGGGAGATAGCAACTTCCTCAACGCATTCAGTTGATTTTGCAACTAAAATATCTGGGTTTTTTTTTTCACCATGTCCATTTGCCAATCACTATTAAGCAGTGACTGTTTATAACTCTTTTCCTAGCTCATCTCATAGCATGGCTTTCTAAAAGTTGCCGTTACAGTTACTGTAATGTGAGTCTTGTGAATGTAAGGTCATGTTGTCCATAGTTACCCATGTAATATTACATATAATAATGTAATATATAACACGTAATATTAAATACAAATATGTAACATTAATATTCTATAATATTAATAATTATACATAATACACATTATTACATATTAATCTGTATAAATATATTTAATATGTATATAATATATATACTATATTATGTATATTTAATATATCTACACATATATCTGTATATATAAATATACATATATTTAATATGTATATATTTAATATGTAATATAATTATATTACATGTAATATGTAATATTACATATTATAATAATAAGAGCAAGAAGTATCTAGTTTCCTATTTTCTCTATGAAGTTAATATTTACAGTAAGCTTTAAAACCTTCAGTAAAATATACTCTTTGTTGTTTCAAAATTTACATGTTAATTCTGGGCTATTTTTGGCTGAGAAGCAAAAGAACGAAACAAACATTTGCAGTCTATATACCATGCTGGTCAACTTATCTGTAAATACATAAGATTGTACATGTGTTTCAGCACCTGGTGGCCCAAAAAAATGAGATTTCTGGACAGCAAATCACAGCATTAAGACCTTAATAAGTATATTCCTCTTTAAATTTGTAGAAGACCATAAAAGCAGTCTTTTGGTCTTAGTTTGACACTCCATTCCAGCATGTTAAAAGATATAATGTATGTTTCACAAAATTTAAGTGTTTTATATTTTTAATTATAGAATCATAGAATCATAGAATAGTTTGGGTTGGAAAGGACCTTAAGATCATCAAGTTCCAACCCCCCTGCCATGGGCAAGGACACCTCACACTAAACCATATCACCCAAGGCTTCGTCCAACCTGGTCTTGAACACTGCCAGGGATGGAGCATTCACAACCTCCCTGGGCAACCTCTTCCAGTGCCTCACCACCCTAACAGGAAAGAATTTCCTCCTTATATCCAATCTATAATCCCCTGTTTAAGTTTTAACCTGTTTTAACTTTTTTTTCCCCCCATCCCATCCCCTGTTTAAGTTTTAACCCATTACCCCTTGTCCTATCACTACAGTCCCTAATGCAGAGTCCCTCCCCAGCATCCCTGTAGGCCCCCTTCAGATACTGGAAGGCTGCTAGGAGGTCTCCATGCAGCCTTCTCCAGGCTGGACAGCCCCAGCTTTCTCAGCCTATCTTGATATGGGAGGTGCTCCAGTCCCCTGACCATCCTCGTAGCCCTCCTCTGGACTTGTTCCAACAGTTCCATGTCCTTTTTTATTCTGAGGAAACTAGAACTGCACACAATACTCCAGGTGAGGTCTCACGAGAGCAGAGTAGAGGGGCAGGATCACCTCCTTCGACCTGCTGATCATGCTCCTTTTAATGCAACCCGGGATATGGTTGGCTTTCTGGGCTGCAAGTGCACACTGCTCACGTTCATTTTCTCATCGACCAGCACCCCAAGTCTTTCTCCACAGAGCTGCTCTGAACCTCTTCTTTGCCCAAACTGTAACTGTGCCTGGGATTGCCCCAAACCAGGTGTAGGACCTTGCACTTGGCATGGTTAAACTTCATGAGGCTGGCATCAGCCCACCTCACACGCGTGTCGAGGTCCCTCTGGATGGCATTCCTTCCCTCCAGCCTATCAACTGAACCACACAGCTTGGTGTCATCAGCAAACTTGCTGAGGGCGCACTCAATCCCACTGTCCATGTCACAGAGAAAGATGTTGAACAGGACCAGTCCCAGCACTGATCCCTGAGGGGCACCGCTCGTTACTGGTCTCCAGCTGGACATTGAGCCATTGACCACAACTCTTTGCATGCAGCCATCCAGCCAGTTCTTTATCCACCAAGTGGTCCATCCATCAAATTTATGTCTCTCCATTTTAGAGACAAGGATGTTGTGTGGGACAGTGTCAAACACTTTGTACAAGTCCAGGTAGATGACATCAACTGCTCTACCCCTGTCCATCAGTTCTGTAGCCCCATCATAGAAGGCCACCAAATTGGTCAGGCAGGATTTCCCCTTAGTGAAGCCATGCTGGCTGTCACCAAGCACCTTGTTGTTTTTCATGTGCCTTAGTATGCCTTTCAGGAGAATCTGCTCCAAGATTTTGAAAGGCACAGAGGTGAGACCGACTGGTCTGTAATTCTCCGGGTCATCCATTTTCCCCTTCTTGAAAATGGGGGTTATATTTCCTTTTTTCCAGTCGTCGGGAACTTCACCTGACTGCCATGATTTTTCAAATATGATGGCCAGCAGCTTAGCAACTTCATTCGCCAGCTCCTTCAGGACCCGCGGATGGATTTCATCAGGACCCATGGACTTGTACATGTTCAGATTTTTAAGATGATCTCAGACCAGTTCCTCTCCTCCAGTGGGCACAAGGTCTTCATTCTCACAGTCCCTGCATCTGCCTTTCCAGACTTGGGTGGTTTGGTCAGAGCCTTTGCCAGTGAAGACCGAGGCAAAGAAGTCATTCAGAACCTCAGCCTTCTCCAAATCCTGTGTAGCTAGCTCTCCTGAGAGCTTCCTGAGGGGGCCTATGTTCTGCCTTGTCTGTTTTTCATTTGCTATGTACCTGTAGAATCCCTTCCTGTTATCCTTAATATCCCTAGACAAGTTTAATTCTAACTGAGCCTTAGCTTTCCTAACCTGGTCCCTAGCTTCCCGGACAACATCCCTGTACTCTTCCCAGGCCGCCTCTCCTTGCTTCCACTTATTATAAGCCTCTTTTTTCATTTTAATTTTCCTCAGGGCCTCCTTATCCATCCAAGGAGGTCTCCTGGCCCTCCTGCTGTGCTTCCTTCTAGTTAGGATGCAACACTCCTGAGCTTGCGGCAGGTGATCCTTGAACATCCACCAAGAGTCTTGGCCCCCCCTGCTCTCTAGGGCTATATCCCATGGAACCTCACTAAGCAGGTTCCTGAAGAGGCCAAAGTCTGCTCTCTTCAAGTCCAGGGCAGTGAGCTTGCTGCACGCTCTCCTCACTGTCCTGAGGATCTCAAATTCGAGCGTCTCGTGATCACTGCATCCAAGGCTGCCCTGGAGAGTCACATTTCCAACAAGCCCTTCCCTGTTGGTGAGCATGGGGTCAAGCATGGCACCTCTCCTTGTCGGCTCCTCTATTACTTGCAGAAGGAAGTTGCCTTCCACACAATCGAGGAACCTCCTGAATTGCTTGTGCCGGGCCGTACCGTCCTTCCAACAGATTCCAGGGTGGTTGAAGTCACCCATGAGAACAAGGGCCTGCGAGCATGAGGCTTTTCCTGCCTGTCTATGGAGTGCTTCATCTGCAGGTTCTCCTTGATCAGGCAATCTGTAACAGATCCCCACAGTAATGTCTCCCATCGCTATTTTCCCTTTGACCCTGACCCACAAACTCTTTGTTAACTGCTCACCTGTCCCCAGACAGAGTTCCATACTCTCCAGGCAATCCCTAACATAAGGGGCAACTCCCAATCCCCGCCTGCCAGGCCTGTCTTTTCTAAAGAGCCTGTAACCTTCCATTCCAACACTCCAGTCATAGGAGCCATCCCACCATGTTTCTGTGATGCCTATTATATCATACCCCCGTAGATGTGCACACATCTCTAATTCCTCGTTTGTTCCCCATGCTACGGACATTTGTATAGAGGCATCTGAGCCAAGCTCCAACTGAAGCTGTCTCATTGGCTGGAGCAGCTGGACTAAGTCAATTAAAATGGCAGAAATGCATTGCATAAACAGACATAATCCTTTACTTACCAGATTTTATACTATTAGTTCATGTTGTACTGATGTCTCTGGCTTTAGATCAAATGGGAGCTGACTAAAAAATTTAAAGCTATATCATTATCACAAGTAAAATTGGTGGTTTTTTTGTGTTTTTTTTTTTTTTTTTTTTTTCCCTGTGAAAAATTTCAACTTGAATTATAACTTTTGAAAAAACATTTTTCAGAACCCTTTGTCTGATTTAAAAAAGTATCCCAGTTCCCTGTGCATTTCTCTCAAACATTTTTCTCCTGTACAGCTCTTCCAGTTTTGTTTTGCTTAAGCTACTATCACTGACTGCAAAGAAGTTGATAGTAAAGCCATCAGTAATCTACTCTTATTTCCTTTTCTGAAGTTTTGTGCTATGAAACTTTGAAAAACTTCTTCACTTTCCTCTAGTTTTATTGGCAGTGAAGATTAATTCCCACTGTAGAAATAATAAACTAAAAAATAAAAAAGTTAATGGAAAAAGGAATAACAGCACACCAATAACAAAAAACAAAATAAACCTCAAAACCCTTTAAACAGAATTCATTATATTGTTTTCAGTACTAAAAAGAATGAGAAAACCTTACTATGATGTGCTTTTTTCATCAAATCCTGTGTTTTCCATGACTAATGGTAAAGCTGACCATCTTCCTTATCTCTTATCACCAGAGTTATATTTCTCTTCAGCACATTTTATTTAGAACTGTCATTACAAGTTCAATTGTTTTTTCTACTGACCTAAAAGAAAATGTAAAGTATTATCTCCATTTCAGATTCTTTTTTTATATGTATAGAAATGGAGAGAAAAGAGTCTGGAAACTTACACAGGGTCTTTAAATTCTTACCAATATTCCAGACAGATGGTTTAAAGCAATTATTTTACAAGTATTACTAATATGGTTCATGTTTAGATGTTTTTGGTTTTTTTTTTTTCAACCCTAGGAGAATTCTGTGAAGTACAAATAGATACCTGTGGTTCCAGTCCTTGTGAAAATGGAGGAACATGTATTGACTATGGAGATCATTTTAACTGCTCTTGCCCTATAGGTGAGTCATTGGAAATGTACTTTATTCTCTAAACAGAACAAAGAAAATATCGTATGATATTTAAGAAATGTCATAAAAATAGCAACATATTTTAATGTATGCAATAAACATTTTGTTTTATGAAGAATACCATTTTTTCAATTTTTTTCAGAAATAAAACTGCCAAATTACTCTAGTAGAGTGGTGTTAATTGCTGACACCTGCATAGACGTAATGTCAATATTCTGAATGAACTGTGATTAAACATTCTCTTTGTGGTGCAGGTTTTGAAGGTGAAAGATGTAAACTGGATATTGATGCCTGCCTGTTCTCCAATATAAGCTGTGCCCCAGGAGCACTGTGTGTGGATAAACCTCATGGATTTAATTACACATGTTTATCACCATGTATTGGAAATACAGAGGTAGGATGAAGTGATACATTTCCCCCAGTGTTTTTGGGAAATCAAACAAGTTATTCCAAGAGCAGTTAGCTGATGAAGCCTTATTTCCCATGGGTTTCCTAAACACAGTACTTGTTCTTGTTATATTCTCATGCTAATCCAACCCTTTCCTGTATAACGTGTATCCATAGGCGTGTGATGTGACTAGTCTTGTTATTGTCCAACAAACTGTGTAATTCCTGAGCTCTGTCCTTCTTGTTCTTTATAGGTTTACTCACTGACATCTCCAGTACCTTGCTTACTGCAATGTTACGAAACTTGTAGGAACAAATGAAATTTCCTAGAAATGTTTGATGTGGTTGAAAGTTACTAGAAAGAAGGCTGACGGTGTATCAATGCAGAGAAAGAATGACAAAAACTTAGTTTCCATTAAAAGCAAAAATAAACACCATAATCAACAAAATAAACTAAAGTAAGAGTAATATTACACTGCAATGAGAGCTGGAAATGCAGTTAGAAAAAAACAGTCAAGATTATCCTTGCAAGTTATTCTTAAATGCTCACAATATAGTGATGAATTGGATTTTTGTACATACAAGGTATTGTAGAAATCTTTAAGTTAGATTATCAACAATGCTTAGGCCAAAGTAGCATCCATTTTGTATCTAGATGTCTTTAAGATGTATTGATTATACCCTTCTCACTTAACTTTAGTGACCTTTGCAATTAAATTACTGGAATTACTGGTTTGGTTAGGATTCATTCACATCAGAGTGAACTACAGACCCAGGCCCTTGAGTTACTGCAAGATAAAGTAAAATAATGTTGCACTGCTTTATTATGTTAGTTATTTTAAAAGCACAATATTGTGTAGCCCTTTCAAACAGCTATTCAAACATGGTAACCAGTGTTTCAAAGGTTTAATCTATTCTTTTATTGAAATACATTCACCATAAAAACATACTATGCAGAGCAGGCAATGTGTTTACATGGAAGAAATCAACATTTATGTTACCTTAAAGTCCACAAGTACGCACTCACCAATGAGTATGAAATGTAATGCTTAAATACTCACTGGCTTAAAGGTTTATATTTAAATTTGTTCAGCATCTGTTAAGTTTTAATGTTTTCATTATTTAAAGTGTCATACTGAGTGCAAATTTATTATACATTGCATAATACCATAATGATGCAATAACCATTATGGCTAGTTAGGATAAGAAGTGATGTTGTGCCAAGGATGCTGTTGGGAGCTACTATAACATTTTACTGTGATATTCACTTAAAAGCCCTAAGACATATTTAATTTGTTCATACAGACATTACATACACAGTCATAAATGTCATGTGAGGTAAAAAAATAATATGTATGCATCTATATACACCCACTGTATGAGAAATATATTTGGGGCAAAATGGAAATAAATAGTAGACTTTTTATGGGAAAGAGGATAGAAACTAAAATAAATGAGTGATATGTTTGTGTTTTAGTTCTTTTCATAGACTGACATAATCACAGAATGGTTTGAGTTGGAAGGGACCATAAATATCATCTAATTCCAACCCCACTGTCATGGACAGGGACACCTTCTGCTAGACCAGGTTGCTCAAAGCCCCATCTAACCTAGTCTTGGAATACTTACAGGGAGGGGGCATCCAGAACTTCTCTGGGCAACTTGTGCCAGCGCCTCACCACCCTCATAGTGAAGAATATTTTCTTTAATGTCTAATCTAAATCTCCCTTTCCATCTTAAAGCCATTCCCCTTGTCCTATCACTCCATGCTATTGTAAAAAGTCCCTCACCAGCTTTCTTGTAGGCCTGCTTAAGGCACTGGAAGCAGCTTTAAGGTCTCCTCAGAGCCTTCTCCAGGCTGAACAAGCCCAACTCTCCCAGCTTGTCTTCACAGGAAAGATCCAGCCCTTTGATCATCTCTGTAGCCCTCCTCTGGACTTGCTGGAGCATGTCCATGTCCCTCTTATGTTGGGGGCCCCAGAGCTGAATGCAGTACTCCAGGTTGGGTCTCATGAGGGAGGAGCAGAGGAGGAGAATCACCTCCTTCGACCTGCTGGCCATGCTTCTTTTCAAGAGTATGCTTAGCTTTCCAGGCTATGAGCTCACACTGCTGGCTCATGTGGAGCTTCTTGTCAGCCAACACCCCCAAGACTTTCTCCTCAGGGCTGCTGTCAATCCAGTCTCCTCCCAGCCTGTGTTTAGGATTGCTCCAACCCAGGTGCAGGGCCTTGCACTTCTAATTGTTGAACTTCATGAGGTTTACACTGGCCCACCTCTCAAGCCTTTCAAAGTCCCTCTGGATGGCATCCCTTCCTTCTAGTATGTTGACTGCACCACACAGCTTGGTGTTGTCTATTCCACTGCCCCTGTCACTGAAAAAGATGCTAAAAAATGCCTATCCCAATACTGACCCCTGAGTAATGCTTCTTATTGCTGTTCTCCACCCGGACATCAAGCCATTGACTGAAATTCTTAGAGAACAACCGTCCAGCCAGTCTTTATCTGCCAAATGGTCCATCTGTTAAATTCATGACTCTCCAGTTTAGAGACAAGGGTGTTATATGGAACCGTGTCAAATGCTTTGTATTTAGACAGTTAGAGGTCCAGTTAGATGGCAGAAGTCGCTCTTCCCTTATCCACAAATGCTGTAACACCATTGTATAAGGCCACCTAATTGATCAGGCATGATTTGTTCTTAATGAAGCCATGTTTGCTGTCAGGAATGGCCTCCTGATCTGCTTCATGATCTTGCTGGGCAACAAGGTGAGACTGACTAGCCTGTAGTTCCCCAGGTCTTCATTGCTTCCCTTTTTAAAAAGTTTCCCCTTTTCCAGTCAATGGGAACTTCACTGGACTTGCGCAACTTCTCAAATATGATAGATAATAGCTTAGCAGCTTCACTCACCAGTTTCCTTAGGTCCCACATGATGCATTTTGTCAGGTCTCATGGACTTGTGCACTTTCAGGTTCCTTAGATTTTCTTGAATCTGACCTCCTTCTACAGTGGGTGGTTCTTCATTTGCCCAGTCCATGCCTTTGTATTCTGCAATTTGAGGGGTGTGGCTGGAGCCCTTGCTGGTGAAGGAAGGCAAAAAAAAGTCATAGAATACCCCAACCTTTTCTGTGTCCCAGGTAACCAGGTCTCCCATTCCCTTCTGGAGAGGGCTTACATTTTCCTTAGTCTTTCTTTTATCACAGACATACACAGGAGCTTTTCTTTTTGTCTTTGACAGACATCTGGCCATATTTAATTCTGTCAGTGCTTTAGCGTTTCTAATCTGATCCCTGGCTGCTCAGATGATTTCTCTATTCTACCCAAGCTACCTGTTCTTGCTTCCACCTTCCTTTTTATGCTCAAGTTTGTTCAGGAGCTCCTTCTTCATCTGTGCAGGCCTCTTGATGTTTCTACATGACTTCCTCTTTGTTGGGATTCATCGCTGCTGAGCTTGGAGGATGCAGTCCTTGAGTATTAAACATTTTTCCTGGGCCCCTCTTCCTTCCAGGGCTTTATTCCATGGTACTCCATCTAACAGACCCCTGAAGAGGCCAAAGTCGGCTTTCCTTATTTCCAAGGTAGTGAGCTTGCTGTGTGACCTCCTTGCTGCCCTATTTGGAGGAGGCTGGCTTTGAATCACTATGCGTTTATCGTTGAAAACCTTGCACAGGATAGTGAAGACAGGAAAATGAGGATAAGGCATACATTATTATATATTTTCTACCATTATGTGCATTAAAAAATTAGAAATAAAGCCTTTTTTATTTCTCTAAAGGAAACTAATAATACTTCATTTATAGTTTCTGGGAAAAGTGTCACTTGTAATAAAGTAACAAATAAAAAAAATTGCCAGAAACCAATAATTTCAAGGCAATTTATTTTCCTTTGGTAGCAAGAATAGAAATGGCAAAAATTAAAAGCTTTTAGAAAACTTGAAATACATGAGCTTCTCAAAGAGTAATCTCATAAGTAAACTAGTGAAACAGTGCACCTGCTCTAGCTTGGTATAAAGCAGGTAAGATACTTATGCTGAGTTATTTTAAGGGTAGTTTCCTGAACAAAAGAGTCTGACATCACCTTGGAGAAATTATCTGAAAAATAGGATGGAATTTATTGTGTATATTTGCAGATTACAAGTGACATCTGTGAACTTCAGAATTGTTATGTTAAATTAATCTCCAAGATAAGAGATTCAACGACTTTTCAATTACTAGTGGTAGTAGGCATTGTAGGTAGGGTTTTAGATGTTAAGCAATATAGCCATCTGTAGAAATATTTTTTCTCTGTAGAAATATTTTTCTCTATAGTTCTCTACAAAGTTTGCGTCTTAGAAACTGCTCTCACAATACTCACTTCACTTGCAGAATGCAAAAATAATGTTTAATTGTCAAAAGCCAGAGTATCAAAATTGAATAAAAGGAAACATAGTGGAAATATATGAGACTGCATAACTTAGGTGACCTAACTCACATTCTGGAGACCAAGAAAGTCATTAAGTTCTGCTTATAGGCGGCTTAAGGATTTTAAGTATTTACTTCACAAAGAATAATTCAGTAGCATCTAGAGTGCAGGTAGAACTGAAATCTACAAGCAGTTAAAGTATAAGCAGAGTGCTTCTTTCATATTAATCATACTCTTCCATATTTTAGTTTCATTATTCCTTCTGGAGCTTTCAGCAATTTTTTCTTGAAATGCAGATTTATTTGTTTTTTTGAAGAGGGATTTTTTTGTTTGTTTGTTTTAATAAAATTTTTTTAGCTACTTTCTTAGTGTACCACTAGTCCAGGAAAGAATATAGGGCAGATCCATTAAAATTATACTTTTTGGAAATTTTGAATATGAGTACAATTGATTTTGCAGTAATAAAGCCCGAAGACTGTAGTGAAAGGATATGCCAGGTGAAAAAAAACAAAAAACAACTAAACCAACAAAACCAACAAAAAAACCAAACAAAACAAACAAACAAACAAACAAAAAAACGAACCAGTTTTATTCAAACTGCAGAGAATTTCAGAAAAAGTAAGAGGGAAGAAATGTTCGGAAAAGATTGTGCTGAGTTCCTTCTACCTTGGTGTCTTTTCTTATCTCAAGCAATAGAGAATAGATGATACATAGAGAAGAGAGTCATATTGTTATGTCCTCAATTACTGCAGAGTGAAGAAAGTAGAAGGAGGAAATGTAATCAACTGGGGACTAATTATCTTCTGTTGCTGTAATAACATTTCCTGGTTGATATTAGAAGGAAGTGATTCTTATGTTTTTTATGAAGACTAAATAATAAGGCAGATTTATTTTAAAGTACATGCTGTATACAGAAGTGTCAGACTGACCAGGAGAGCCCGTGTTTACAGTTTGTGAAGTCATGAGATCTGTGCTTAATCATAACAATGAGGAAGATTTACTTTGGGAAAAAGAAAAAGCTGATTGATGGGAGGATGCTGCTCTTTACAAAAGTCCATTTGTCTATTTCTTTTCATTTGAAAGTGTTTCTTGTAGTAACTCTAGAAAACTACAATGCAGGTTTGAAGTTTAGAGAACGACGTTGAGTAGGTACTTAGTTTGACTTTAGTAATAAATGAATTTTATTTAGGATTAATTTATTATAAAATTCTTAATAATTCTAACCCAGAGTTTTCAATATTTAAACTGACAGGGAATTAATTTTACAGCAGAGGTAAAAATGCATATGATAGAGAAAACTGCTGACTGTATTTGATGGTAAAAATGTCTTCCATAACTTCATCTTAATTTAAAGCTGCTTTAGCTTGCAATAATATCTTAAAGGCTGACACACTTATTCACAGTATAAAGTATCAAACTCACATAAGTCTATAATGAATATAATAATGGGGCAATATTGAAATTTAACTTCTATCTTAATTGCCTTACAAGTTTTTTATAGTTGACTTTTTCTGAGTGTGAGCTTATATTGGAGGTTTGAGGAAATAGTAAGCCTTTGGAAAAAATCCTGCAGAAATGTTAAAATAAAAAAAATAAGAAGACACATAAAAATCAGAAAGAGAATACTTCCAAAACTATACACAGAGAAGTTTTCTTTGCATTTGTTTTCTTTATATTTATGTTGAGCAGCGCTTTTTTTCAAATAAGTTTTCCCATTGAAAGAGGATCTCGAGTCTAAAATTCAGTAGTCTGAACATAGCAAAAAATCTCTTTCATTTTAAGGTCAATTTAAAACCTAATGAAAGACAAATGAATATTAGAGGATTTCTGTCAAGAACTGTTATTATTACAGAACTTAGGTGTCCCTGCCCACGCCAGGGGGGTTGGAACTAGATGATCTTAAGGTCCTTTCCAACCCTAACTATTCTATGATTCTATGATTATAAAGAGACTCAGACTCAAACAAACTGAAGTACTAGTGCATTAGCTCATCTCCTAGACACGATTTTCTTTAGAAACCAATTCATTAGAAGGAGGGGTCTTAATTAGTTTGAAATAAAAATGTAGTTATCCATTTTTACACTTGCAAAATTTTCATAGAAATTAAATGGGACCCTAAAAGTGAAACAAAGAAAACAACATTTATTCTGACCTAGAAATTTCTGCTATTTTTGAAGAATACAAGAAATGTTGTAAGTAATATTAGAAAATAAAAGCTACAAAATAAAAATAAAATGCTGGTCCAGACTAGGTTTCTTAATTTCTCAGTGTCTGGAGGTAGGAAAGAAAGAAATTTCTGGTCTTCCCAGAGCATAGATGTATTAGATGCAGATAAAGGTATAGATAGATACAGTTGTATATAAAAGATTCAAGTATACATTGTGAATCAGAATTATTATTAAAATTTAAAAAAAATAGTCTTTCTGGTGATAGCCAAAACTTCAGTTAAATTATACATTGATTTTAACCACTTTCAGTGGAACAATAACAGGCTAGTTCACTATTACCCCTCCTAAACCACGCACGTTTTAAGGTCAGTTATGAAAGTGGCACTATTAAATAGAATCATAAATTTTTCTTTCCAGCTAAACAATTATATGATGGATTGATTCAGTGACATTCAGTATTTTAGGTTCTTTTGGAACCTAAAATCTATCTTGGAGATCTATCTTGGAGATCTATCTTTTGCAATATTATAGTGTAAAACCGTATTAATTGTTAACAGCTTAGTCAGTTAAAATCTAGGGGAAAAAAAAAACAACGTTGAGAAAATCCCAATGTAGAGAAAAGCTGCTTTATGTATTTGTACTTCTCATATACAGGTATGTGCAAATGGAGGTAGCTGCTTCTATGATGAAGAAAACCAGAGATCTCATTGCTCCTGTGCTCTTGGATGGAAAGGACAAGCATGCCTGGAGAATATTAATGACTGTGAGGTCAACCAGTGCCAACATGGAGCCACATGTGAAGATGGAGTTAATAAATACAGGTACTAACAAGATGCTTTCCATACAAAGCTTCATAAAGAAATTTATGCCAAATTAAGATATTTTTCCTTTCAACAAGAATTACAAAGGGAGTTGCTATTGCAGGAGTATTTTTGTCAGATCATAAAATGCCATGGGTACTAACTTTGAATAAACATGTGCATTCAATAAAATTCCTTAGTCTGAAGTATTGCAGAGAAAGGCCTCACAAATATTAGTCTTTGATAGACAAACTCTTTATCTCAGATAAACATATCATCTCTTCTAGTAAACGGTAAACACTTTATGACCTGTAGTGTGACATGGAGTGGCTTTTCTTATTAAAACCCAAATTATAATTTTCAAGTTAACAGTTCAAATGCTGAGTTATTCGTGGCTTCTAGGTTTGTGGGTTTTTTTTTGTTTTTGTTTTTTTTTTAAGGTTGTCCTGGGTTCAGCAGTAGCAGTCATTTTTCTCCTTCTCAGTAGCTGGTGCAGTGCTCTGTTTTTGACTTTCAGCCTGGCAACAGCGCTAATAACACTGATGTTTCTAGTTGTTGCTAAATCATGTTTAGTATGACCAAGGACTTTCTGAGTCTCATGCTCTGCCAGGGAGGAGTGGAAGCTGGGAGGAAGCAAAGACAGGACACCTGACCCAAACTAGCCAAAGGGGTATTCCATACCACAGCATGTCATGCCCAGTATATAAAATGGGGGCAGTTACCAGGAAGGGCTAGATCACTGCTCAGGTAGGGCTGGATATCGGTCCCTTATCATTATTATTATTGGTGGCAGCAGCAGTGGTTTGTGTTATGCATTAGTTACTGGACTGTTCTTATCTCAGCCCATGGGAGTTACATTCTTTCGATTCTCCTCCCCATCCATCCGGGAGTGTGGGCAGGAAGGGGGAGGAATCAGCGAGCAGCTGCATGGTTCTGGGTTGCCAGCTGGGCTCAAACCACGACAGTTCTTTGTGCTGCCCAACGTGGGGCCTGAAGGGTTGTGATAACGACAGATCTGACCAGAGTGTGTCTAATCATATTTGTGATAAGCATTTATTGGTTTGGATTCATAGTCACTCATCACAATGCTGATTTATTGGCTCTCAAAGTTGTTGCTCCTGCTCTCACAGTTTCAGCGTTTCATACCTTACTTACAGCGGTATTTGCTGTTTTAGTGTTTAGCCGTTGCGGGACTTGGGCTAAGGTTCTTGTTTCACTGTATTTTATGGTAATGACTTGTAATACAGTAGACTTATTGATCATGAAACTGATCTGGCTTGTATTCCCAGCGTGGTCACCACCTCTATACTTTGGGAGGTATATAATAGAAGTGCTTAGCAATTATACATCTTTTTTTCTGCTCCTTGGGTGGTCAGCCTATGAAGGAGACATTCTCTTAGGTTCCCAATCCCCCCACCAGACTATTGACAGCATCATTTGAGAGTTCTGAAGGTTTTGAATGGCCTTTGGGTACCCTTGAGACCTGCCTGCTGATTGTGATGAGAATCACCATGCTGGCACACATACAGAGTGTGTTTTACCCACGACCATTTTGTCTGATCTTGAAAATTAAGCAGAGTCAGCTTTGGGTCTTGTCTAGGGTTAGATGACAATATAGGAGGACCAAGAGATTTTCCCTGAGGCTGGACGGTCATGAGTGGCAGGGTGTGTGGGATAGTATGGACAAGTATCTAGGCCAGTGGGCCCCTCCATACTTTGGAACTTCATCAGTGAATAAGTGCAAAATCCAGAAAAATTAGTAAAACACTTAAATGAGGTGTGTCGTCATCCTTGTCATACCAGAGAGGGACAAATCTTGGCAACCTGCTAGGGCTTGGCCTATGCTTACAGAGCCCTGCTCAACAGCATCCAGCACCTTCAAAGGGAAAATATATGTCTCTGGATCTGATGGCAAAGCAACAGACAACGCAGCTACTCCAGCTCCAAATACAGCAGCTACACCAACCATAGTGACAAGTACAGCAGCTACTCAAACTCTGACTACAACAGATAACGCAGCTACTCCCAACTCCAACTACACCAACCCCATTGACAAGTACAGTAGCTACTCAAACTCCAACCACAACAGACAGTGCAGCTACTCCAGCTGCAAGCACAGCAGCTACACCAACCCCAATGACAAGTACAGCAGCTACTCAAACTCTGACTACAACAGACAGCTCAGCTAATCCAATTCCAAGCACAGCAGCTACACCAACCTCAGTGACAAGTACAGCAGCTACCCAAACCCAACAACTGATACTGCAGCCACTCCAACCATAGTGATAATCACTGCATCTAAACCAGAAGAGCTCTGCAGTGACCAGACGAGTTCTGTGGTGTCATCAGCAGACAACAATCCAACACCGCACACTGTCTCTCCTTTTCTGAAAGACTGTTACAAGAGATGGAGCCAGACATCGTGGACTGGATGAACTCAGCAGCTTTATAGGGATTAGTCCATGCACTAAGGAATGACATCTCCCTCTTTGTGTGTGTGTGGATGCATATATATATATGAGACAAGAGTGATGGTATATTGAAAATGTGAGAATCTGAGCATGATGTGAATGGTATGGAATAAGGGGTGGATAATGTCCTGGGTTCAGCAGCAGCAGTTATTTTTCTCCTTCTCAGTAGCTGGTGCGGTGCTGTGTTTTTGACTTTCAACCTGGGAGCAGCGCCGATAACACCGATGTTTTTAGTTGTTGCTAAGTAATGTTTAGTCTGACCAAAGACTTTCTGCCAGAGAGGAGGGGAAGGTGAGAGGAAACAGAGACAGAAAAACCTGACTCAAACTAGCCAAAGAGGTATTCCATATCACAGCAAGTCATGCCCACTATATAAACTGGGGGCAATTACCCAGAAGGGCTAGATCACTGCTCGGGTTGGGCTGGGTATCGATCAGCAGGTGGTGAGCGTTTGTATTCTCTTCCCTTGTTATTTCCCTTATCATTATTATTATCAGTGGCAGCAGCAGTGGTTTGTGTTATACTTTAGTTATTAGACACTAGTCTCAATCCGTGGGAGTTATTCTTTGGATCCTCCTCCACATCCCTCTGGGAGCAGGGGGAAGAAGGTGGAAGTGTGAGCGAACAGCTGCATGTTTCTGGGTTGCCGGCTGGGCTTAAACCACGACATAGGTATTGACAAAACTGTCAAGTATGTGCTTTCCTTAGTGAGCTGCAACAGGCTGTAGATATTTGAAAATAAGACTCTATGAATTATGGGGGAAAAAAATGTAAAAGGATTTCTTCAATAAGCAGAGTTCAGCTGTTTTCATCAGACTTGAATTTTTTATTTTTCCTCTATAAAAAAAACAGAATAACTAAAACCTCTCCATAATGTCTGTAAGTGTATTTTGAAGGGCTTTAATACTATGCTGTGTCCTGTACTTATAAGAACTGTAATTAATATACTTTATTTTTTCTATTTAGAAAAGTTTGCAATAGCAGACCAAATTAAAATAGAAGTAATTAAAAATTTCTTCCACTCTACCTCTGTTTTTATACAATCATCTGTAATAATAACTAAAATCACCAAATAAGCACAAAAGTACAGATAAGTACGTGATTCTCAACATACCGGAGTTAAAATGTCAAAATATGGTCCAGTGATTCAATACTAGAGTTGACTGCAAGCTTGCAAAAAAAGAAGGATGTATACTTTATAAGGGTGGCAAAAATGCCTTTTATTTCACTGATAAATCTTTGATTTTCCTGTCTGTATTGTAAAGAGAATCCTGATAGATGAGCAAAGCCACGCTTACCTTACAAAATCCACTAGCATTTACTGAGAAATGAGTAGGTCTGAAGACTTCTGGTGAAACAAGAACTTCTGAATTTAGCTTGCTAATCCAGACTCAGGCTACTGACTGAAAACACTTAATTCTTAAAGTCTTTGAAAGGCAAATAAGGTTTGCAGAGCAGTCCGTTTAGTTAAGGAACAAGAAAACACACCACTGAGATACAGATCCTAGGTGTGTTAGCCGACACTTTTTTATCAGAGAACCTGACCTCACAAGAACACAATTGGTTATTTTGCAAAGACAATGTGCAGAGTGTTTAATGTGTAATACCTGCTCTGTTGACAGGGGATTGCTATTTCACAAGGACAGTGAAGCATTTTTAAGTGAACTAAACTATTCCTTCCATAGAAATAATGGTATTTCCCTAGAGTTATTTATCGTCAGCAAGTGAAACAATTTTAATTTCCCATTTGCAACACACCATTAAAACCAAAATAATAGGAAAGGAAATGCTGAACTTCACTACTGTAGTCACCCACATTTTTCAAAAGAGACTTACAATTTGCGTTTTTATCCTAAAATGGCTATCACTTTTGATAAGGCAGTTATCAAGAACTGTATTTTATGCAAAGTAGTTTTGGGAAGACATACGAAAACTGTCAGCAGATTGTATGGAGAATTAGATGTGTAAGAGTCATTAACAGGCCTACTGAGATCCATTTTTAAAGATGTAATAGTCATTCAAAACATTACTTGCCTTTGTCTTCTTCACTTACTAAGTTAGCCAAATTGTTATGTATTACTTATCTGTTATTATATGGTTTTATTTAGTATAATAAGTGTAAAACTAGACTTTCTCTGAGGTAAGAAAACTTTACTTCTAAGGTAATTATTAAACTTTATTCATAATTTATTGTTCCAGGGGTAGCTTGCTATAATAATGCTAATTATATAATGTTAAGAGCAGGAAAGCCTTGAAGGTATCCAGCTTAGCTTCAAGAACATATCCTTCTTTTAAAGGTCTCATGTTTACAAGCTGTCACATTCTTCCAGATTGGAAATAAGTGCTCAGCTGTATGTATTTTTTTTAACTTTCTATCTCCTTACCATGGCATATTCTGTTTCTCCTCCCATTTTGAAATGACTTGCAGACAGTAGTGTCACATAATACATGCAGAGAAATTCTTTTGAGTACAGGATGGGGAATTGCTCTGTGTGAAGGAGGGGAACTTTAAAACTATGATAGAGGATAATACCCAGTAAGGCTACATAA